TATTCTAAAAATAATAGTTTGAATGTAAATTATTATTTATATTTAGTGATTGAATTTTTTTATAACAAAATTTTTAAATGTTCTTATGTATCAGTTACATTAAAAGAATTTTTCTGCTCAATATAATCAGAACTCATCAAGTTTAGATCGTTTTGTCTGAATAATTACATAAAAACCTTATTGAAATCATTTTATTTATTGTATTTAAATTCATTACGTTTTAATAGGAAGGTTATAGTTATAAAATACTAGATTAGTTTATTCTACCTGTTTTATGATTATCTTAATTTTATTATTAATATTACTATTGAACTTCTAAATATAGTATTAACTTATATGTTGAATTAGAATAATTATATCAAACAAAAAATTAACATTGAATAAAGTTAAAATTAAATTTGAAATAATATAAAATTTTGTTTAGAAGTAAATTAAATTAGAAAAAATTCTTTGCTATGACGTTTCGAGAAATGAAGTTTATCTTTATCGGAGATTTGATGGTATGATTTATAATTTTCTTGAGTGTATACGTGTTTATTTGGATTTGTTTCTTATTTTAACAAACACACCCTAAAAAAATAAATCCTTAAGTCAGAAAATCCCCACTTGGTCACAAGTTTTCACTCTGTTGGTTTAACTGCCCCAAATGCGAGTTTTTTGTAAAAATAGTTTAAGATACTCTATCTGCGGTAGAGCATTATCTACTCATTGACAAATTTTGTAGTAATATTATTACTATATTTAATAAAGTGTATGCAGATATTTCTCACGAATAATTTCGAGTGTATTCATATTAAGATAACTCAAATGGTCATGATAAGGAGACTGTCATATAAGGACTGTTATCAACATGTGCTAAATATCTCATAAAGAAAATTTGCTCTGACTCTTTTAAACGCAATGAAAATATAATCACTGAATACGTGCTATGTATGATATTTGTATAAAAGAAAAGGAAGCACTAGTTCTCCTCGTATACACACAATTCACTACAAAACAGTAGACTACGGTAAGTGTGAGTTCCATCTTTATTCTTCTTCACGAACCCGATATAACAAGTAATACTTATCACTGCGGCTCATGGAACTCTCATCCTAAATCCCATGCAACGAAGCTAAGCATCGCGCGTGCAGACTAGAGCCAGTCGAATTTGCGGTTTTTTTGGACCCGAATCCGTTTGAGAACTTATTTTTCGACTCAAAGCCGAATCCGATCTCGATGAGCAATAGTCTGAGCTCGACCTCTACTATTAGAGCTCTCAGTAAATTTTTCTACTTGAAATCTGATAGTTGCTTCGAAAATACAATATATTTTTGTAACTTCTATGTTCAATAAGTAGTATACTATGTATTATTTAGATGATTCGATAGCGACCTCTTATAATAGTGAAATTATAATTCCCTACTACTCCTAAAGTGGATCTGTATAAAGCTTTCGTCTTTAATTTGCAAAACTATCTCTATATTTCATTTACAGTTGATAATTTTCATTTGTAAACAATGTTTATGCGTCGTGTAACAACAGGTATTACAGTTTATAGTGATGTAATATAATTCTATAATTATTTACCATAGTGTTATTTTGTATATCAATCACCCTGTATCTATTAAATGTCAATAACATTCAAAAGAAAACATTTGAAGGTATCAGAATTGGCCTAGAATTAACTATTGAGTATCTAATCGATCTTCATTTGTATTTTGGAAATAAATTTATTGAATATAAAATATCAAAATATGATAATGAAACTTTAAAACAACCCAATACAACTAAAGTTCAAGATGATTATAATTGTCCTGATCATCAATATAAAATTCGAATCATTTCACGTAGGCCATTAATTATTTATATAGAAAAATTTCTTACTGAAGATGAAATGAAACATTTTATTGAACTAGGGTAAGTAAAACATAAAGTAAATTTTTATAGAATTCAAATATGAAACATGAAATCATAATTTAATAGTGAATGCGAGTCATAGAGTATGAGCAGCGCCCATTCTTCAAGTCAAAGACAATGTTATGTCAACTAACGTGCCTGAGAAAATGTGATAAAAAGCATGATATGTTATCGAAACATGCAAGAATAGACAAATTATTATTAATTATTTTGCCCTACGGAGAGTTAGATGATTTTTTAGATGCATCTAATGATTTGAAATGAGTTGTAAACTTAGGCTAGCCAAAATTCGAATCTCAGAAAATTTTATAGTGTCTTACCATATATGTATATATATCTCCGGAAAAAAATAGTTTCACGCTATATTTTAGATATATTCTCACTACAAAAAACATATTCTGAGAGCACGTTAAGTTTTCTTTTGGACTTAGAAATTGCTAAAATCTACTGAATACAGTGGAAGCACTTTCATATTTAGAACCTCGTAGACATGATTCTATAACTTTAGTCAAAATTAGGGTTTTAGATTATTTTTTATCACTATAAAAGTACGTTTCTAAAAAAGCGATTACCATCTTCTGATAATGGTTAAACTCAATATCATTCTATAAAGATTACTCAATTTAGTCTTCAAATCATATAAGACGATAAAGAATTTAAGTTTAATGGGAACACATGGTTGCTTCTTTTTTTAGAAACGCAATATTTTTCTTCTAATATTATATTTTAGAGAAGCACGGTTTAAAGCTTCTGCAATAGTAGGTAATGATGGAACACGTGTTTTGGACGAACGTCGGACATCAAGTTCAGGTTTTATAGAACGTCATGAGACACCTATTGTCAAATGTATTGAACAACGTTTTGCTGAATTTCAAGGTAATGTTGATGTCGAACATCTTGAACGATTGCAAGTCGTCAAATATCTTGAATCACAAGAGGCATGCAACATTCTTTTCTATCTTAATAATAAAAGTTCAATTAATTAAAAGAATTTTGTTATAGTATAAACCGCATATGGATTGGTTTACTGATATCAATACAATAAGCAAAATTGGACAACGTATAACAACATTTTTTACATATCTTCAATCAAATTGCTCTCAAGCTGCAACAGAATTTCCTTATATTCAATTCAATGAAGCTCTTCATCAACGCTTCTGTGATATTTTAATATGTGATAAAAATTCTTCTGAGCATGGTATTAGATTTCGTCCATTAGCTGGTAACAGTATCTTTTGGTTTAATGTTAATGAACTAGGACTAGGTGATCAGTTAACATATCATGCAGGTCGTCCACCCATCATTGAAAATGGTTACAAAATTGGATTGAATACTTGGACACATAATAAAAAATTTCATGTGAATTGAGAAGTGATGAAGACAAATCTGAGAAGAAATCCTAATCAGCTAATTATCAGTAAATTTGATATCTAATTTTAATAAATAAAATATCGCATTGTATCGATTGCTGAAGCTCAACTTTTATCTGTGACCGTAATGCATTCAAACTAGAAATAGTAACGGAGATTGAGTATAAATATGAGGGTGTGGGTATGGGTGTGAATATCTCTTCTCTTAATCTCAACCACACCTACCCTCAAGATGTGTAGCTCTTGTTGCTGTCTTATATGATGTTTCATATTCTTCCCAACCAGTTGTTCGATATATTGTGTCAGAAAAATACGTAGATGTTATATTCTTGAATGTCTCCCTTCAATCGATTCTTACTTGTTTTTACAATCAAACATGTATTAATGAATTTATAGTTGAAGAATGGATAACTAGATCATTACATGCAACTATATTGAGATTTGCTGTACTCAAAGTAATAGGAAAGATACGATCTTTTTTTAAAAATTGTGCCAATAGATGTATACAAGATCAACAATATGTAACACAAAGTTGAATAAATACTGGCTATTGATCTACTGTTTCATTGTATATGAGTTTAAAGTAAAATAACTATTAAATATTGTTCAATCTTTATTTTTATCATAATAACTATACTGTTTAAAAACATTAAATGCAATTGCTTCACCACAAATATATGCATTCAAAACATCGATATGTCAATGAAAAAACTTGATGGTAAATAGCGACATCATGTAAACAATATATTTATCATTAGTGTAATATATAGCAGACACTAATCGATGGAGAAGTTTCGTTCTATTGAATTACACTTTATTGTTCTCGGAAAAAAGGTTGGAGCATAAAATTATCCATATATATCAACCATTGCTAACACCAATCATTAATAAGAAGGTTGTTATTGCAGAGACAAATCAATATGGCATCTCCTATAAAATAATAAATCTTTTTATCAGCTGTTTTTCTGAAAAATTAAGATAAGATCATTCCTATTGATCGTTATATGTTTTGTTGACATAAATATTTTAAATTACAAGGAGAAAAATAATAAACAATTAGTCAATACTACTAAACTAAAAACATACGAAGACTTCTTTACTTATTTTCATTCTATCTAAATTTTGTTCTAAAACATATCAAATATCTGATGTATCGCACAAATCGAATTCATTGTTGTGATTTGAATTAGTAATATAAAGGTTTAGATTTAAAAAGTATAACTCGACTGTAGTATTTATTCGTTTATATCATATAATGTATCGTTGGATATTTAAGAATGCAATAAGGATAATTTCTAAATAAGTGTAAGACTTCTATCAATTAAATATAAATCTTTATACATTTAACAAACAAAAAATAATTTATTAACGTATTTAATAAATCTAAAATCTATTGTATTTTGTTTTTGGGTAGTCGAGGTTATTTATAGTTAATGTAGGAGTTGTGGTTATATTTAGTGATGCAGTAATGATATATCATCAATCATTTTCAATTAGATTATCAAATGATATAGCAACTGTCGATCTAACATCAATAGCAGATAATTCAGGTAAATCAGAATCTATATTATATATGAAATTTAAAAGATATTTTGATATATATCCATATTCGATCTATAATAGAGAAGCATCGAATTTTATTTTTTACTATCAGATGTTAGTTTGTACAGTATAAAATAGTAGAGACGTTGTAACTATAGTTTTTGAGGGACTTGTATGAATTAGAAGAGTATTAACATTGACATTTGACTAAATAAAGTTCATGATCTCTCTTAAAGAATTAATCATCATATTCTTCAGAATGACTGATGATCTGTGTGAATTTGTTTTCTAAAAAGTCAAAGTTCAAAGGATATTTTTATAAAAATTCCCATGTTATTTTAACAAAGAACATTTTGTGTATATTTTGCTCATTGAATTTTTTGCAGACAGTTAAAAGTATTTTTAACACGAAATCACCTAGGGTGATTGTACTGTTAACAACTACTAAAAATAGAAATTTTTGAATAGAAATTTTTTTCAAGTACAACATTAATCCACGGTAAAATCTCGAGTAATTTTGCTACAGACGTTCTTTTTGTGACCGAAGTCGTGCTTTAAATATGAGACCGATATTAAAATATAAAAAAATATTTCATGTACTAAATATTGTACTTAAATAAATAATTTCATTGTAGATTTTATTAAAAGAATAATTCTAATAGTCTCTCATAGAATCTAGAGAATAGTTTTCATTTTAAAATCTACAATGAAACTTGTCCTAGGTAGTATTTAAAAAAATAAAATACCTTTATCGTTATTTGATTGGTTACTTTCATTAACTAATAAAATATATATCACATGCGTTTGTTATAAAATAAAAATAATAAAAAATAACAACACTGACTCAAATTTTTGTTTCTATTCTGAGCTGGATTTTTTTTTCAAAATCATTTTCCTTATTTTTATCATTACGCTCACCACAAAGTGCATAGATGTTTAATGAATAAGAATGATTTCGAATATTTTTAAACTTGTCATAAATAAATTTTCGTTTCATATATCTACATATATGCATACATGTATATATATATACAAATGGTCGAGTACACTTATAGGAAAAAAGAATTTGATAATCATAATACTACTTGTATTCATTTTTGTTTTCATTTAAATTATCTAAATTTTTAAAACTTATTTATAGATTGAATAAAAATAATTACACATATTTTTGATCTATATATGTGTGTATGGATATAAATGACGAATTATTCATACGAAAACAATAAAAAAACAATAAACGAATTAATTAAAAAGAAAAAAATGCCAAAACTTTGGAGTTGTATTGTATCACAAACGGATGAAGAAAAAAGACGTGCTCAAGTTAACAAACAAATAAATGCGAAATTAAAACATGATGAAAGAGTTTATAAAGCCACATACCGTTTACTTCTTTTAGGTTCATTTCATTCATTTTCTCTATTTTATTTTGAAATTTATCAAATATTATTTTTTGTATAGGTGCGGGTGAATCGGGAAAATCTACAGTTGTTAAACAAATGAAAATTTTACATAATCCATTTACTGCACAGTAAGATTTCAATAACATTTCTATTTTTTCTGCATGTTTGTATTTCATTCTATAGAGAAAAACTTGATAAAGTACCTGATATTAAACGTAATATACGTGATGCGTTAACTGTATGTTTAATTTTTCTTTTTTCTAATATTTATATAATAATATCTAGAGTATTCTTCGTGCTTGTGATACACTTAATCCACCTATACAATTACAAGATCCAGCAAATCAAGCACGTGCTACATATATTTTAACAACAGCACATCAAATAGATTTTGATTATCCAGCAGAATTTTTTGTAAATGCACAAAGTTTATGGAATGATACAGGTGTACAACGATGTTTTCACAGATCAAATGAATATCAACTTGTTGATTGTGCTAAATAGTTCGTAGTTTATAATAGAATTTTTTCCTTTCTCAATAGAAAATTTCAACAAATATTTTAGTTTTCTCGATACTATTAGTGAAATTAGTAAGCCAAATTATGTACCAAGTGATCAAGTAAGTTAAAATGATTCATTTGTTAGTATAAAGGTATATTATCTATTTATAACGAGGAAATGATTCATCAGGTAGTTTTTTTTATCGAATACCAGAAATTTCGTATGACTAAAGAAAGAATACATCATAGAATTGTTTTTATTATCTAATACAAAAAGTATGTTGGCAAATTCCTTTATGACATAATCTTCCGAGTACAAAACGTATTATAATATTTACATTGTGAGGAAGCAAATGAGTTTTAGTCTAAAAATCGAGAACTTTTCTTTATCACTTCTTAATTCAGTTGTAAGATTAATCTCAAGTGTATTTATTTTTCGTGTTAATATATGTCTAGACTCAAAAGAATATATTTTTCTATTTTTTATTATACATAGAACCCTTTTCTTATAATTAGAAAAAAAATGCACCGAGCTCTGGTGCAGTTTATCCTTGAGGATGAATGACAATATGTATAAATAGTTTTATAGAAGTTTACGATGACATTAATACATGTTCATATCTCTATAATTAGATAACTTTCTAAAAACTATTATTGATTTTACCTCGTCGTACATACCGAAGGTATAATCGAATTTATGTAAATTAAAACACATTAGTATTATTAAAACATTCTATAATCTAAAAATGATATTTTCTAGGACATTCTTCGTTGTCGTGTTCTTACCTCAGGCATTTATGAAACAATTTTTACTGTTGAGCGCGTACGTTTTCAGTAAGTATATGTTAATATTTACGTTATGAATGTAATGTATATGTGTCCATCTAGTATGTTTGATGTGGGTGGACAACGTGAAGAACGTCGTAAATGGATTCAATGCTTTAATGATGTTACTGCAATAATATTTGTTACCGCATGTAGCGGTTTTAATTTAGTACTTATTGAAGATGAATGTCAAAATCGTCTAAAAGAATCACTTGAATTATTTAAAGCTATTTGGAATAATCGGTAAAATTTATAAACAAAAAATAAAAAAACATTTATTTATTATTATTATTAAATATTTATAGTTGGTTAAAAACAATTTCAGTTATTTTATTTCTTAATAAACAAGATCTTCTAGCAGAAAAAATCAAAGGTGGTCACCGACTGGAAGCTCATTTTCCTGAATTTGCTCGTTATGCTATTTCAAATGCTGAATTAGGTAAATAAAAGAATTTATTTTACATAAATCATTCTTTTTAAAAGTATACGAAATAAATCTAAAAATACAACGATAACAATGAATGATCGATGCAGTAATAAATCATTCGAGAAGAGCGATTATTACACATTTATTGTTAAATATGTTGAAAATTATTTTTGCATAAAAATTCGAGTTTACATACAGAGTTTGAAAACGAATACTGATATAAGTGCACTTGTTTCGTATAAAGTAAACCTGATTTTATTGATTTGAATCAAATTTAAGGAATGTATATTGTGTTTCCACTGACATATATTTCTTCACTCTATGTTATAACATCAATTAATCTGAATTAGAATCGTTCCACCAAGAGTTATAACCGGTCCGGTCGGACCGTACCAGTGCCGGATCGGACCGGTGAAGGAGGTTGAACCAATGGATTGATTATTTCATTGAAAAAAAGAACCACAATTTATTTTGAAATATACATTTACACATTTTTTCTGATTTTTTTCTTTTCTTTTAAATAAAATGAACTATTAGTCAATCGTGCAAAAAAGAGTACAATCAGTACGTTGTTATACGCTGCTTATCTGTCTGCTTTGATGTTTTTTCTTTAGTCTTAATCTAATTTTCCTTGTGTATATTATATGAAATTGTCGGTTTTTACCGGTCTAGAAGACTCTTAGACCGATCGGTTACAACTCTGATTCCTCTTAGACTCAATTTTTTTCTTTGAATTAAATAAATTTTAATTAATGATTTTATTTTTAGACAAAGCCGAACCAAGTGAAGAGCCAGAAGTAACACGAGCTAAATATTTTATTCGTGATGAATTCTTAGTAAATAAATTTACTAAAATTAAATAATTCACCAAAATACATAATATTATTTTTTCTGTTTAGCGAATTAGTACAGCTATTGGTGACCAACATCATTTTTGTTATCCACACTTTACGTGTGCTGTTGATACAGAAAATATTCGTCGAGTATTCAATGATTGTCGCGATATCATTCAACGTATCCATTTAAGACAGTACGAATTACTGTGATTCTTTTTTCTTCGAATTTTGATCATCTATACCTATTTTTTTAAAGATATATCTTCTTTCATTTCTATGTTCTGTTTATCCTAACAGATTCAAAATAAGTGTTTTTTTTTCTTCGTATATTTTTGACTGAAAACAAAAATAGCCTTATTATTTCTATTTTATGCTTAACATATATCTAATTTGAACAAAAGAAAGTATTAAGATATGTAAGTGAATTCTTTTTGGTGCTGTTTACTTTCTTGTAAGCTCAATTCCTTTTTCCTATTTCATACTTTAATATGTACAGTTAATTGTGGTTTAATTTCTTCTTTTCTTTTTTTTCACGTATATCTATGCTAACAGTGACTGTAAAGACAATAATTTCCTTGAAAAAAAAATTATAGTATTTAAATCTCGGCTTAAATGTATTTTCATAGATCTGAGACGCAATAGTCATCGGTTGTTTTGTAATCTGTCAACTAATACGATGACCTAAAAAACCATGAAACTGGTGTGTGTTTTTTTTCTAATTATTCTTTCTCTCTCTTTCATTCTTTTTTATATTTTTCAAAACAAAATTTGCATGCTATATTAAAAAACATTGTCTAATTTGGAATTTAACTTTTTTTTTCTTTAATTTTTTTTCTATGAAACGTTTATACACGTATGTTCTTTTCATTCTAATGCTTGCTCACTTGATCTCGCTTTCCTTTTTTACTGTCGCGCTCTTCTTCTTTTTTTTCTCTTTCAAGAAAAACAAATGTATTTGTATTTTCATTTTTTCTTGCTGTATCTGTGAGTGTGTGTCTTTTCTAACTCCTTGAATGAAGTTTTTTGACACACACAAATAAAGAAAATCCAGAAAAAGACTATTAGTAACAATAAAAATTTTAGTCATATGTTATAATAGAATATTTATCAATGACAAAAACTAACATAAATGATTATGAAATAAAAATATGTCAATGGGCGAAAAAACAAACAAGATATTGTTCGATATTTAATTAATAAAAATATATGAGATGGCTCGTTTCAAAGAGATCTATTGTAGAAAATTATTCATATAAAATATTTATATCCTATACGATATGTATATATATTTGATTTGTTCTCTTATTTGACCTATCTGTCAATGTCATGCTTCACTTGTTTTTCTCTTCATATTGTCAAGTTTGTCTTAATACCTTTTTTTTTGTATCATAATAGTTTAGAGAAACTATAAAATGACAACTGTCAATGATAATACTTCTGAATATATAACAAATTCATCATCATCATCAGCTGGTCTAAAATCATTAATTACTGTTATTATTTTGATATGTGTTTGTATCTCTGGTTTTATATCTCGTTTATTTTCGATTATTCGTTTTGAATCCGTTATACATGAATTTGATCCATGGTTTAATTATCGATCAACTGTTTATATGACAGATAATGGTTTTTATAATTTTCTTAATTGGTTTGATGACCTTGCTTGGTATCCGCTTGGACGTATTGTTGGTGGCACTGTTTTTCCAGGTACTTAAATATCTCATTTTGATTTCTTGTATATTAAGATTAATTATTTGAATACGTGTATATATATATTAAGGTTTAATGGTTACTAGTGGTACTATTCATTGGTTTTTTCATATGATCAATATTCCAATACATATTCGTGAAATATGTGTTTTTCTTGCGCCCGTTTTTAGTGGTTTAACAGCTCTTGCTACATATTTATTAACAAAAGAATTATGGTCAAAACGTGCTGGATTATTTGCAGCTGCATTTATTGCTATTGCACCTGGATATTCATCACGTAGTGTAGCTGGATCATATGATAATGAAGGTATTCATTTCTTTTAGTAAAAAAAACACACACACACATACAATTTTCAATTTTAGCTATTGCTATTTTTGCTCTTATATTTACTTATTATCTTTGGATACGTTCGATTAAAACTGGTAGTATATTTTGGTCGTCTTGTACAGCTTTATCATATTTCTATATGGTATAATACATTAAAAATATTTTGTAAAGAAATAAAATACGAAATTATGTTTAGGTATCCGCATGGGGTGGTTATGTATTTATAATAAATTTAATTCCAGTGCATGTAGGGTTTCTACTTCTTCTTGGTCGATATTCACTTCGTCTTTATGTGTCATATTCAATATTTTATATTCTTGGTTTAATACTTTCTATGCAAATTCCATTTGTTGGTTTTCAACCCGTTCGTACTAGTGAACATATGATAGCAGCTGGCATTTTTATACTTTTACAAGCATATACATTTTTTGATTATCTCTATAACAAATTAAGATATGTTAGAAATATAGAAACAATATTTTTTAATTTAAGTATTATTATTAGTATTATTGTATTTGCAATCGTTGTTTTATTAACATATACTGGTTATATCGCACCGTGGTCAGGAAGATTCTATTCATTATGGGATACGAGTTATGCTGCAAAACATATACCTATTATTATAAGTGTTAGTGAACATCAACCAACAACATGGACATCGTTTTTTTTCGGTAAAATTTGTTTTTGAAAAGAAATTTATTTAAATATGAATATATGAACTTTTAGATCTTCATCTATTAATTTGTTTATATCCTGTTGGTGCATGGTTTTGTGTTAAAGATTTGAATGATGAACGTGTTTTTATTCTTCTCTATGCAGTTTTTGCATCTTATTTTGCTGGAGTTATGATTCGTTTAATGTTAACACTAACACCATGTGTTTGTATACTTGGTAACAAATAAATATCTATTTTTTTTTAATATTATTTTGAGTATTTATTCATAGCTGCAATTGCTCTATCAAAAACTCTTGATTATTATGCTGATGCTGAATCATCAGAAATGGTTTCAAACTATGATGATTCTGTTAGCATTTGTGATGAAGTAGAAAATGATGAAAATAATCAATATTTAGATAATAATGCACAAAATATTGATGAAACGGACGATAACGACGACGATCAAAATTTTCTCACATCAAATATCAAAATAATTGTTGTTACTTGTAGTATGTAAATTTGTTTTTTTCTAAGATTAATTAGAGATTATAATAGAGACAACGATTTTCGTTGGATTGTTTTCAGTCTAGTACGGTTTTATCTAATGTTTAAAATCAGATAATAATTAATCGATTCTTAAAAATATAATAATTGTTTTAGTTGCTATGATGTTATTACTTTTCATTGTTCATTGTACATGGATTACAGCAACTGCATATTCATCTCCATCAATTGTTCTTGTATCTTACAATAGCGATGGAACACGTGCTATCGTTGATGATTATCGTGAAGCTTATTATTGGTTAAGACAAAATACTCCAGAAAAAGCTCGTATTATGTCTTGGTGGGATTATGGTTATCAAATTGCTGGTATGAGTAATCGAACTGTTTTAGTTGATAATAATACATGGAATAACAGTCATATTGCGTTAGTTGGAAAAGCTATGGCAAGCAATGAAACCGAAGCTTATAAAATTATGACAATGCTTGATGTCGATTATATTTTAGTAATATTTGGTGGTGTGATTGGATTTAGTGGTGATGATATTAATAAATTTTTGTGGATGGTTAGAATTGCAGAAGGTATGAACATAAAAAGTATAGAGACAAACAAAAGATTTTCTTTTATATAAATAATAGGTGAACATCCAAAGGATATAAAGGAAAATAATTATTTTAATGACAATAAAGAATATCGTGTTGATAAATCTGGTTCACCAATATTATTTAACTGTTTAATGTATAAATTATGTTATTATCGTTTTGGTGAATTATATACTGATAGTGCACAACCATCTGGGTAATTTATGTTGTTAATAAAAATATAATATAAAACTTATCTTTTTTTTTCAGTTTTGATCGAACACGATCTGTTGAAATTGGACATAAAAATTTTGATTTAGAACATGTTGAAGAAGCTTATACAAGTGCAAATTGGATTGTTCGTATATATAGAGTTAAAAAACTTTCTAATCGTTTTCAAGCAAAAGATGCTCTTGAAAAATTAACTTCTTCATTATCGGAAGAATCTTTTGAGAAAAATGATGGAAAAGGTGTAATTTTAAATAAACCACATGTAAAAAAAGGTACGAAAAAATCGATGCGTCGAACATAATGACATATTATAATCATATTTGTTCACTAATTTTAATCTTGTAACTATGTTAAGTCTAGAACATTTTATTTTATGATTATTCTCTTTTGTTCACGTATATTAATTTTTTTCTTGAATTTTTATAGGATATGTTAAAATCTGACAACTAAATCTTTGTTGTTTTTTTTAAATAAAATAAATCTGAGAAATCTGATACTTGTTCATCTATATGATCAAATCATGGATTTAAAATTAAATATAAATGTATATACTTGAAACTAGTTGAATCATAGTTCGACTATGAAATGATAATTATCGTTTTTATAGAAGTTTAGCTTAAAGAATAGGAAATACTATGAAGAGAATAATTCTTTTTTTAAGTTTATTTATAAAAACTATTAAATTACATAGAGTGATCATTTCAATCGTTACAAGCAGCATTTTAAATGATCCTTAACCGGTATATCATAACATTCATTTTCTTTATAATCTATTAACTTGTTTTACGAGTTAATACGAAAGACAACATTGTTTTTCTAGAAATTAGTGATTGTATAAAATGAATCTTTTAACAGAACAATACTATTTTGTCAATTGTCATTTGGTTGTTCTCCAATTTTACCATTCATATGCTGACGAAGTTCATCACCTAATGTATCAGCTAGTTCAGCTGCTAATTGTAATGCAATATCATGTTCATCAGGTTCATGTTTTGTACGTTCAGCTCGTTCAAATAAAATTCCAATAGCTGCTTGACGTAGATATGTTGACAAAGATTCAACATCGAAAATTTTAACATACATTGGAAAATTATACTGACGACTCATTTCATTTATGCCAGCTTCATTCATACAATAAATATAATATATTGTATTAAAAAGGACAATATCAGCATCAACAACGACATGCTCTGATTTTGGTATGAAAAAATGTAATAAACGAATATTGGTACGATGATTTGAAATATAAGCTAAACAACGAGCTCTATCAGTAAATCGACAAAATAATTGTGATCTAAAAATTGTTCCAAAATTTCCATATTCATCTTGAAGGTCAAGTAGAACGAGAAAAGAAGGATTAACAGCCGCCATGTATCTAGAAGTAAACTAGAAAAAAAATGATTATATTATTCATATTTATTTATCGAACACATCGATTTTCATTCAGAAATACAGATAATTGTTTATATAGTTTAATACCCTCTTCAAAACAAAAACGTCCTCTGTCTTTATCACCTCGGTCAATATAAATATCACCAATTTTTTTATATTCATTTGCTGTATCAATAAACCATTGAACTATTAGACGATGTTCATTTTCGAACATTGCTTTTATTTTTGTATATCGTTGAAAAAAATGACTACGGTCATTATCATCAACTAATGGAATACCATGAATATATATAGAATGAACATCGTCTGATTCCGAAATAGTATCTAATAAATGGTTCCGTTCATCCGATACCATATCGATTATATCAATAAAAACTGTTATTTGTTTACTATGTTTTAATATATGAAGAAATTCAACTTTGTCATTGAATATTTGAACAGAATGATTAGTTTGTTTATTTAGAATATCAGGTATTTGTGATTGAATAGTCGAAGGTAACTGAAGAACTAGAAGATCATTCTTCTCATTTGGATCAAGAAGATCTTGACATTCAATCGGTAAAACATCGCATGATTCAAGAATATTTTCAGGTTCTTCTTTCGGTATCACACTTGGCTCGGTTGATTGTAAAACTGAAACATCTATAAATTTAAAATGATTTATTTATAATAAATTATACCTTCGGGAGCAGAGTTGTTACGGATGTCAGCGTTATTTAATTGTGGTTTATCAAGTTCATTATTACAAGAAGAGTCAATATCATTCGTATTTCTGCATAATTCAATAGGCTGAGAGTATGAAGGAATTTTAATCATTGTATTTTGTTTTGTTGTTATAACTTTAATTAAATGAATCGGTGTTAAATTCTTATCTGTTATTAGCTCTATATCACATGGTGTTTCTAATTGTTCTTTTATATTTATTAATTTCTCTTTCCATTGATGAAGTTCAGTCTCAGTAAAATGATCATTTTCACGTCCAGTGAAAAGTTCATCACGAAAATGATTCAATATTGTTTTCATTCGATTATTTGATTCATCAAGCATTTGTTGAAGTTCAGTACGCGCTGTCTCGGCTGTTTGTTGAATTTTAGATATTGTATCATGTTCCCATACATCAATTTGTGAAAATAATGGATGCTCCTGACGTTTTTCATGTTGATTATAAATATGTTGTAAATGAACATATTGTTGTTCGATATTACCAAGCTCATTTGATAAATATGTTCGATGTTCAGATGCATGATCAATACAAAATGATGTTTGACAGCCTTCACATAGTAATACCCATCTTTTTAAACCACATTTTGTACATGGTTTTTTATCATTGCTAGGTGAATTTGCTGACATGTTTTAAATGAATTTTACTTTTTTGTTTTTATTCTTTTACCAATTTTGTTAATGTCGTAAAAGAAAAGAACATTTTTGGTAAGAAAAAGAAAACTTCAAATATTTACAGAAGCAATAGGCATCATTACAGATGAAATAATAGTAAAAAAACGTGTAGAAATTTCTTTATTTCTCTTGTTGTCGTTTCTTAACCTTTATAAACTCATACAGGTGTAATAAAATCATAAAATATGCTACTTCTATTTAAGTTGTATTTTATAAGATTAGAATTTGCTTGACTTAGATTTATATCAACATATATATATATATATATATATTGTAACAAATAATCATTTGAATTATTTAATTGCAGCAACTACGCTGCTCTGATCTTGTTTATTTTCAGTTGAATAAACTAAATTTATTTACTTATTCAAATCAAGGTCTGTTTAGAAACGGTACTATAAAATATTGCTACTATTTAAAATTCGTCTATCGCAACAGGAAATTATACGAGAATAATATGATGTTTTTCACTAAAAACAAAATTTTGTTTTTTCTTATTTATTGCATATTTGTATGCAAATTAGATATTCTATTTATAGTTGATAATTTGCATATAGATTGAATTAAAATGAAAGACAACAAAAATATTTGTTTTTTGCTTCATTAGGTTGACCCATAGTGAAAATGTTTTCTAAGAGTAATTATTAATCGGTTACAAGAAAAATAACATCGTTGTTTTTCGTAATATAATATTAATTGCTGTATGGTGTAATTGCATCTTTTAGAAACAATTTTACTAGAAGAACTATAGTCTCATTACCAATCGGTTTCTATGTAATTAAGATAATAAAAAAAGATATTGATTGAATTACAATACCAAGTTTGTGATTAATATATACAAATGCATTTTATGATTCATCTTTCTTAGTAATGGGTACATGAGGTTTTTTAAATATTTACTCATAGTTGATATGTATATATTGGAAAATAATGATTAAATGTATTCAAATATTGATCTTTTATAAATAGAGAATGTATTTCTTAGTGATCTTACTGTTAAAAAACATTCATTATACATGAAATTTGATTCAAATATTTTATACAATAGAAAAACAATCATCTGTAAGAAATAATGCTTGTATTTTATTGGAATTTGTCAGAAAAAAAATTGCTTAATACCGTGCCAAAACTATATATATATATATATTTAATAAAATTGGAAATAATAAAAAAAAAGATCTTTCGAGATTGAATATGCAGAAAAAAAAATCTTTAATTATATCTAATTGAAGATTGTTCTTGAGATAATTTTGCTGTAATATGAAGTTTTCCATCGGGATTATATTGTGATGCTAAGCTTTTTAAATCTGTATTTGGTGGTAATGTAAGTTGTTTATAAAAATATGCTCGTGATGATGATGTTGGCGGTCGTTCAACACTATGTTCAGCTTGAACAATAAGATCATTACCATTAACCGATACTTTTATTTCATTAGGTTGATAATTGTTTACATCAAGTTTCATATCAACACGTTTTTGACCACGATCATCGGTAGATATTTGTGGTTGAAAAGCACTTCGATAAAATGCATCTGAATTGAAATCATGAGCAAATATTGAGGGTTCATTACTACTAGTAAACCTATCATTATCAGTAGCAAGATTATTTGTACCACCACCCACACGTCGCGAAAATTCACGTACTTCAAGATTACGCGATGATGATGGTGGTGTCCGACTGCGATTACCAAGGTTAAGACCTGATCGAAAACGTTCTGTATCAATATCTTTAACTATTGATGGACTGCCTGAACGATGATGTTCAACTTCATGTGATGATTGTACACCTGATGTTGGACTTGAACGTCGATGACGAGTTTCATGATGTGTTTCAGAAAATGTTTTTTCCTCTACATTACCATACTCACTACGAAATGATGATGCTGGAAACGTTGTTCTTGAAAGAGTATCAACACCTGGTATACGATGTGTATGTGTTGAGTTGCTGGTTGTATTGAATGCATCTGATATAGAACTACCAAAAGTACGATTCGGTGGGCTTGGCATTCTAACTGGTTCGCGAATATGACAAGCATTTGTTGTTGCAAAATCTGATGTAGAACTACCGAAAGTACGACTCGGTGGGCTTGGCATTCTAACTGGTTCGCGAAAAAAAGAAGTATTTGTTGAATAATCACTACTATCACGAGTATCAGAAACATCACGGATGTCACGAATATCACGACTCATACTATTACCACCGAATGATTGATAAGGAGAATGAGAAGGTGGACCTGAAACAATTATTCTATCAACAATAATATAATTAAAGAAAATCATTTTACTTGAACTTCGTTGATAGTTAGTATTACTACGACCAATACTACCGCTAACGCCAGCGTCAGTATTACCACTAATACTAAAACCAGTACTACCAGTACTACCACCACCACCAATTTTTCTTGTCGATGTAAATTCAGTTGAACTTTTTTGTTGAGTAAATCTCGGTGCTGAACGATGAGATACATCATAATCAGATATATGTTTCGAAGATGCACGACCATCATCAATGATTACATTTGAATGACGTGAAGGAAAATCTACTTGCATTTTTATTGGTGTTGGAAAAGTTGTTTGTGGGCTGAAAAGATATTATTTAAATATAAAAATCTTACATGAAAATAATGTTTACTCTTACGTGTATGTATCAATATCAGAAGGTAATTCAAAGGACTTCTCAATAATTTTTTTGCGCGTACTCTAAATAATAAATTCTATTAAAATTAAGAAACTAAAAAACTTCAGTAAAAATTACTTACATCATTATGATTTTCAATATGTTCACCATATACAAGAAGTTTTTTACCATCAACACGAATATTGACCTAATTATCATAAGAAAAAAGAAACCTTACATAACGAAAGATTGTTAATATTGACATACTTCATTTTGACTAAATCCCTCGATATTAATATTAACACGAAATTTTTCTTTACCAGTTACTGGATCATTAACCCATTGTACTGTTGTATCATTATGACGAATACGTTCTTGTACACGTTGTTCGCTGGTATTATTACCAATACCATTTACTGCATGTTGAATAGGAACAGTTACACGTTGATCATATGGTGAACCATGTGTATTTGTATTAATACCACCGCTATTACGGGATTCTTCCTGATATGATCGACTTTCAGAATAACGTTGTGATGACATGTTCTTTTTACTTTTTTAACTTGAATATAAATCTAAAAAAGGGCAACTATCTTCCTTTTATCGTTTATATATAGGATGTAAGTATATGCGTTTAATATTTGGCCTTGTACTTTCTCCTTTTACTGAATGAATGCAGGTAAAAATAAAAAAAAAAGTAATAATAACGATATGATGATAATGATAGATTGATTTTTATCATATCTTGTCTTTTACCCGATTAGCAACGTATATATGGACACATATAAGCACGCAAATAGTTGACGATCGATTTTGTATAAGATATGATCTTTTTCTTCTCTTCTTTTTTTCTTTTCGACGAATATAAACAGACAAAAAATTTGACAAAGACGTCTTATCGATAGCGCACATAATATTTCTTCTGCTTTGCATAAATAATAGCGAAAAAACAATTTCTTTTGTTTATGATATGTGAAAGCCTATATAGAGAACAAGATAGTATCCTTACCCATCAATCGTGATCAGTCAGTCAAAATCTGTAGGTATCCAAATACATCATCAATATAGGCGCGTGTTTTTCATTAATAATAATTGCTGTACATGTATGTATGTATATATATATGCACATTTATTGATCAATAAATACGAAGGAAGAAAGAAAGAATTGTGTAGGCGATATGTTTATTGTGGATTAAAGATTAGATTTCAGTTGAGGTTAGAAACTTAGTCATATATGATTCTCTCATAGAGAGAGAAAAGGTACACAAGAAAAATAATAATAAAAAATAAAATCAACTCTTCCTTACCCCCTCTTTCTTTTTCACACTTACATGCCCAACATAAATCGAAAGAAGAAAAAAAAAAGAGGAGAAAATAACTCAATGACTGCTTCTTTTTTTTTCAAGTAAAAACCGACAGGGTATTTTATTTATGTATTATTCGTATCTTTCTTTTTTTGCTTTTTTTCTCTATTCGATTTTTTTTCTTCACTAAGTACTGGATGTTTCTTTATCATTTTGTCAAAAATATCATATAGATATTCATAGTAATGTCTATGACTCATCATATGTAACATTCGAGAAATTTCGACAAATAACTTTAATCCTATTCAGTCAAAATTGCCTCTAATTGTTTATATTACTTACCAAAAGAATTTGAATACAGTCCTTCACAAAATGATATATTTATGTTAAAGAAAATATTTTCATTTATTTTTCGCTTAAAAAATCAAATATATGTATAAATAAAAAAAAAATATTTTGTTTTTCTTTTAAGTACACCTATGTTTATCAATTAACAAATATAAAGAAAATAATCAGAACAAAATAACTTAACTTACCTTTCAACACAATATTATATAATTAAATTATTTTTTTTTATAGCAACTTTACAATTTTTGTTTGCTCTCTGTGCGAAAATTATAATTAAAGCAAAATACACACACACACACAGATTAGATTCATATAAAAAAATAAAAAAAAGAGGAATCACAGGCGTAAGTGGAAGTCTTGAATAAGAAAACAAAAAATGAAGATCATTCATACATATTTGATGATTCTGCTAATGCACGTTGGATTTGTTCTTGTACACTGAAATCAACTGATAAACTACGATGACGATAAAAAAGAACATAAGCATCAGATCGTACGAGATCTTTAACATTTGTAAGTGATGAAACACGTTCATCATCAAAATTACGCCAACCTATATTAACAAATCATTTCTTATTATAATTCATAAAAAAATGATTTTTTTTTCTTTACCAATCTCTGTTTTTGCTGAATCATTATTCGCTAAAAGTCTTGCGTAGGATGTATAATGTCCAAACCATGCACTACCACGATGATTAACAATTCCATAAAGATCATAACGAGATTGTGATAAATCATTAGATTCGGGATTTTCTTCTGGTATTGATGAACAATATGGACCCATATTAAGGTTACTAAAAATAAAATAAACACGTTTTTTCTTATTAGAATCTTTTTTTAATTTCTCCAACATACTGAACTGGATATTTAACAGTTGTATCAAGTTTTTCTCGTGAACTAGACATATAACCACCAAGTGATGATGAACAATGATTATATTTGAATCGTTTAAGATGTATAATAAGTATAGGTGGTAAACGCCAAACAGACATTTTCTTTTCAGCTTGAATATGCTCTTTACAATGAGGACAATACCATTTATCATCAGCACCTAATACTTCTGGTTCAATAAATAATTGTAAACATTGTTGAAGTGTAATCTCTTGATCTTTAAAAATAATTGATTATTAATATAAAATTTAAAACAAGAAAAAAAACAGAGATTTATAATATACCTCCACTAAGAGAATTAAAAACACTAGCATCTTCAATGAGATCATTAATTCCCATACGATGTATTGATGGTGTAACACGTAATGGTGCATCTATTTTATTATCAGTATACCAATCAATTGAAAATGTTGTATGACCACGTAAAACATTATTAGCATCGTCACCTACGATAGGCAAAATGAAAAATTTCTTCGTCTTTCATTATAATACATTACTAACCAGGTTCAACAATTGGTTCTACGTTATTATTTTGATTATCAATTGGTCGAGGCATGATTCGAAATAATGGTTGACTACCATATATATCATCTAACATATCAAAATCTTCACTACTACCAATACTCTCACTATCACCATTGACAATCATTGGTTCTTCATCATTATTTTCATTTGTAGATATATTTTTGAGTATTTTATCTTTTCGATCTTTTTCTTGATTATGACGTCGTTTATTTTTATTTGTCTTTACTAAATAATCACCAATACGACATATTGACCAAGAATCAGATGATGAAAGTGTCTTTTTTATCGTTATCCAATCAACATTTTCAATATCACTAAAGCTAAAGATATAACAAATGAATATTATTTTTCTGTCATAATCATTCATTACGAAAGACAAATGTTTTTGAACATGTTATAACTTTTTCAAGAAAGTATTTATACATCATCTGATTTATGTTTCTACATTATGATTAAACCGCAAATGATAAAAATATGATTGAATACACCTCGACTAATAATGAATGTATTTAGGTCAATACAAACGATAGATACGCAGTTTTTTCTTTGTTAATTGATAGAAAAAAGAAGGCAACAGATGATACTATCATTAGTTTTTCCCTTTTCAAATATAAATTTGGTTCCATTAAAAAAAAACGACGAATATTTGGTATTTATCTCGTTAATAAAAAAAACAAGACCCGATCTTTTAATAACAGATGCTATCTAAAGATATTTTTAACTATAGTTCTCGTACATAATGATTGACTATATACAGTAAAACCTCCCTAAGATGAACACTAATGGGACCGCTTGAAAAGTGTTCATTAGAGGAGGTGTTCATCTTACAGAGGTTTCATATTAAATAAAGGTTTAGATATACACCATATAATATTAGTATGGACAAATGATAGCTATGCATCTTGATATTAAAATCTATTACTATTAATTCTAAAACACTATCCTTTTCAATTATTTCACATATTTATTCAATTATCAAGTGAAAAATAAAACAAAAACATTTTTTTTATCTTTAAAATATTAAAGATCTATTTTGTTTTAAACAAAAACTAGTAAAAGAAAGCATTTTTGTCTATTATTCACATCTATTTATATTTTCTAAGAAAAGTCGGTAATTGAGATACTACCGATCGAGATTTTGTACTTCGCAGTAATTGTACGATATGAAGTGTTATTTTCATTTTCACTAATTAACTGCATTTTTATAGACAAAGTTAACGTGTGTTCTGTTTCATTTTACAATTGAAGATAGAATGCATGTTGTCCTATCATATAGAATCGATTAACTCATCGCCGATTAATCACATTGTTTCGTTTGATCCATACATACGACAGAGCTTGTTATGATGAGTTGACCGTCAAAAACTGATTTATCATTTCCTTAATATGAACAGCATATTTTTTCAGCTCTGTGTTTCATAGAAAAACGTACAGTTAATCACTATATGTTCATTATATAGAGGTTTTCTTTTACAGAAGGGACTAAAAAAAGCGTTCATTGTTCAGAGGTTGGAGGTGTTCATCTTGCGGAGGTCTATTTACAGCAAAAATCGATCGGGGGGACCAAAAAATGTGTTCAAACCAGAGGTGTTCATTATAGAGAGGTGTTCATTTTGGGAGGTTTTACTGTATATATTAATTCTAACATTTAATGTACATTACACGTAGTAAAAAAACTATGATACGAAGAATCTTCTGAACTGTAGCGATATAACTAAAAACCATATAAATAATTTTACCTGTCTTCCTCATCATCATCATCGGTAACTCTATCATAACCATCAAAACCTCGATTATATCCAAATGATTGTTGAGTTCGTTTTGAACGATCTATATGAATATCTACATATCGCCTACAAAAAGAAAATTTCAATTAAATCATTCTTATCTTTCGAAAAAATATCTATTTATCTAAACATACTTAGCGTGAATATTAATTTGTTCAAATACATTTTCATATGTTAATTTTGATTCTGGTAATGAAATAATAAATGGATTACCAATATTTTCAGAATTATCTTTTGAACGATATTCACACATATTTCGATGATCAGATTTATGAAAATCTAAACATTGTCTATAAATTCGAATTTAGAAAAGAATAATTTCAAATAATAATAATATCAAACTAACTCGTCACAATATGATACTTGATAACAGTTTTTACAAAACTTTGGTGTACTATGTGGATTTGGTAATGCTTGGCAATAAGCACATGATGATATATAATCAGGTATTTTAAAAATACGTTGAAAAAAAGTTAATGTATGAATTGTTTCATTATCACAGTCAGCACTTGTTAATACTTCAGCTCTAGAAGAGAAAATATTTATATTTAGATAAAGTATTTATTCCTTTTTAGTCAATCACAAAGTGTCTATTAGTAAAACCTATCTGAATCTCAAAGTATATTATCTCATTATGGATGAAAGCAGAAATATTGATCCCAATACGCCTTTATAGATTCTTCATCAAATGACATAAAGTCTCATTTGGTGATAATACTTTCGTATCATAAATTTAATAACTTACATATAAATAATATCAAAAGTATTCCATGAACAAGTACTACTTGTAATTCGATCGTCATCTTTAAGATATTCTATATTACGATTTCCTTGAAGTTTATATGCTAACATCTAAATACATATATATGTCTATATAATTCACAATTGATAGAAAATCTAAATTGACAAACTTTAGCAGTTGATAAACCACATTTATCAGATAAAAGACGTTTAAATTCTGTCATTGATCCATCTGCTGACATAATAGTACGATACTAAATCAGAACAAATTGTTAATTAAATATTTATTTAATAAAACAAAATTAAAATGTAAACCTTAGTTGGTGATTTTTCATCATTTCGGAATATTACAATTGTATCAACAGCTATACGTTTTGGTAACGGTACAGAAAGTGATGTAAATGGATCAAATGTAACTGATTCCTAAAAGAATTTTTTAATAAAAATAAAAATTCTGTTTTCGTTTAACAAACTTTAAGACATTGTGGGCATTTTGTTTTCGATTTAAATTGTCCAGTAAATAATTCTACAATTAATGAATCATTACGAGATAAATAACCACGCCAATATTCATCAGCAAGAACCTATTTCAACAAAAATCAAGATATATATAATTAAATATGCATTTATATATTTACATAATCAGGACGATTTTCATCTTCAATAGGTGGTACTTGAGGTTTACTCTGAACTCGATTAAGATCCTTTAATAGAAAAACAAAATCTAAATATTCAAAATTTTTATTCGAAAAATAAAATCGTACCTCATGAATAGCATCTAATAAAATTGTTAATAATTCTTGTGCATCATGTTGTCCATTACCAACAAATTCTTGATGTCTTTTAGCTACATAATCCTAAATAGTATTCAAATTAATAATTACTACGAAAAAAATTAAATTAAACGAACTCTCAATCGATTTGCATTGATATGATTATATGTTCCACTCCAAAGATTTTTTATAACAGTAGCAAATTCTTCTGCCATTATACCTTTCATACCAAGTGGATTTGTTCGATTTAGTTCAACACAATAATATGATTCTATTGAAATTGAAATTAAATTATTCAGAATAAAATAAAAACCTTAAGAGATTGTTTTTTTACTTAAGAAATAATCTCGTAATTCACGTGTATTTGATAAACACTGTAGAGCAGCATTCATAAAACATGAATTCGCCGGATTATATATTCCAGTATAACCGATGGATGATGTTACACTTGGTGATTGTGTTATATCTTTTTGATAAAATGATGATCCAGTAGGAAAATTATCTGACTAAAAAAAAATAAGACGAAATTTCGTAATGAAAATTAATTAGTAACTAGTTTACCACTCGATCCATCGTTAAGGCTGGTAGTTTACCAGTAACTAAAATAAAGGTAAAAATTATTCAACTGGAGAATGAAACCATGGTTGAATTAAAACGATATATTAAATCATGCTAATTTAGTTAATCATATCAACATGCAGATCTGGCGAGATTAGAATCTATTGAACTCGATGAAATTTTGTTTTTCTATTTAAATATGATAGTCGTTATTCTAGAGAGATCGAAGCACGAAGGTAAATGCTAAATGCTAGGACTTTTTCCCTTGCAGAAGTCATTTTGACATTGAATTAATCGATAATGACTACATATTGGATATTTGGTCTTATACGTATTCAAATACGATCATCAGGAAAAAAAGTCTAGTTTGATTCCTATCACATATTGAACTAATCTATATATTTATAGCTATTAGTTATTTAGCAAAAGTTATTTTTGCTTGTTAAACATCAGTCATACAATATTGTCCAACCTTTATCTCTTAGAATTGTTTGTTGACCTGCAGTTCTTGCAAAAATTTCCTAATCTGCAGTTCTTGCAAAGGTTCCATGACCTGCAGTTCTTAGAAAAGTTTGATGACCTGCAGTTTTTACAAAAGTTTGATGACCTGCACTTCTTACAAAAGTTTCATGGTCTTAAAAAGGAATATTTAAAAATTAAATTTTGATATTAATATAATACAGAAAATTTTAAATAAATCTTCTTATTTTTACCTCGGGTTATTCTATTATATCCACCTTCATCTGTTTCTGATCGTGGATGACCCAATACTGCTGATGATGTTGCATGTGAATTATTGATATCGGAATATTCATTTGGTTCAAGTTGATACCATTTTGTTTGATGTTCACTATCTTTAATAAGATAAATTTCAATATGCACCGGTGTAATTTTATAATGACATTGTTCAGAATTAATACGTCCTTTAACACGAACAACTAATTTAATTGGCACCGTGGGTGATATAGAATGAAGTTGATGAAAATTCTCATCTCTTAAAAAAAATATTTTAAAAATAAATTTAATCTATTCAAAAAAATTGCAAACTTTGTATGAAAGGTAACGGTAAAATTTGTTTCCGTAAATTGTACATGACAATTATATACGTCTCTTATCGAAAAGTGTACTATAACTCTATTATCATATGTTTCTTGAAAACTAGATGGTATTTTTTTTATTGATAAATCATAAGGTGGTTCTTCTTCAATAGAGGAATGTATTTCGTCTTCTTTCATATCTATATTTGAATCAGATCCTTCGATTATTGTTGGAATTGATTGACGACTATGAAGTTGTGGCCATGGTATGTCTCTTTCTTGTTTAAATAAACGAAGTTCAATTATAGTTTGTGTTCTATTTTCATTTATTTTAGCTGTTACTTCCGTCTGTTCGGAATAGATGTGTGCATATAAGTCAAATTTCCAACTTTGTCCATCTATGATAGAGACAAACAAATAGATTTTATAATATCTAATATTTTTTTAAATTACTTGGTGTAGCAACTTCTAGACAATCTGATATACAATTGATATCAACATCTTTTTGTTCAATTGCTCCATTTGCATAAAGTTTTAAAATAATACACTTATTTGAATCTTCAAATTTGTATGAAGGGAATTGATGAGGTTCATGAATTATGCCAGGTGTCATGATTCAATATTTTATCTAAAAAGTATTTTTTTTCTATATTGGAATTTATATAGAGAAAAATATTTATGACAAGACAATTTTGTTTTACTTGGAAAATTACTGAAGGAAGAAAGATTTTCAATTCTATCTGATTAGTTTACTAATCACACCAATCAAACATTCTTTTTTTTTTAAATTTCTTCTGATAGATATCAGCAATATACATGAAGGTACATAATTTGCTTTGCAATGCAGTATGTTCAGAGTGATTGAATATAATTATAGGTATATACATTAAGTAAATAATACTTCAATGATTTCTTTTCATCAACATTAGAAATACAATAGCATAGTTGAATATTCAAAGTAAAAGAAAGTAGTGCATCAGATGGATATTCATTGAATTATTCATATAGAACAATTTTAGAATCAATGAAAGCATTGACGAAATAAATTTTTAAGTCAGAATTATATGATATTCTTTTCAAAAGTAATAGTAAGTGTCTATAGAATTTCTGAACTATATTTTTTTCGTTTTCATGCGGTTGGTTTCAATCAGTTGTTAGAATTATATAGGAGAATAGATAGTAGAATAATTATTCTACGATATTTTCTTTTCAAAAGCCAGTAAACTATCAAAGTAGGTTCAGATACGTGTCTACATAGGCGGCATATAAAAAAAATTTCAGATGATTAACTTGATAGTAAAATCTTGTCATAAATTAATCCGAGTTCCATATTAAGATTCTAGAGAAAGGGAATCATGCTAGTATACCTATAGTGTTGTGAAATCTGATCGAACTGATTTATATGAATATGTATAATATATTTATCGTAAAAAATTCCTAGATCATTTTTTTATAGGTGCAACTTGGAAACGAACTTTATTTTTCAGCATTTAATTCATTTAAAATTATAATTACAAAAGGTTAGTACTTCAAAGACCCTATCCCATTCATCTTTTCTTGAAATTAGATTCTAAAATATTTCATGCTATTTTCTATTGTCATTTATAAAAAATTAAAATCCCATTCCTTACTATTTAGCAAGCGTATATATCCCTATTCTTGATTTTCCCCACATGCGACATCTATACAGTTCTATTAAAATCTATTATCAGTCCTAACTTATCAAACTACTTAGTCGTATTTATTCTAACTTAATAAAAGAAAGAAAAATTAACTGTTTTTTTCTTAGTTAAAATATAAAAACAAACAAAGTGACGCACTAATGCACTTTCAAACATCAATTTAATTACGAAGTCCTCTATACATAGGGAAAAAATGGCGATCGCTTATTGTTTCAAAGAATTTGTTTTTTTTTTCTTCTTTCAACCACATATTTACTTCTACCTGTCATTCATTCTCCTTATCGCTGAATCATCTTAAATATTTTAACTAATTATATTGTTTCCTGTATTATGATAATAAATTATTTACATTACAATTTCAAACAAACGTTTACTATTATATAAAGCCCAGACGATTATTATTTGTTCTTATCGTCTTATTCATGTCAATTTTCTTGTTATGAAAATAAATTTACCATGAAGGTAAATTGCTTATTTTTAATTATTCGTATTTTTCTCACGCTTATTTACAGACGACAAGTGCATATCCAATGAAATTACCACATATACCTGCAACAAAACGTGGCCGTCAAACTAATCAATTACAATATATGACAAAAGTCCTGATAAAAGTATTACTCAAACATGAATTTTCCTGGCCATTTCAAAAACCTGTTAATCCAGTTAGACTTAATCTACCAGTATTATTAATCAATGATTTTATATAATATAAATACTTTTTTTTTTGCTTGTTTAGAATTATTCTAACATTGTTCGATATCCAATGGATCTCAGTACAATTAAAAAACGACTTGAAACCAATTATTATTATAGTTCCAAAGAATGTATTACTGATTTAAATTTAATGTTTACTAATTGTTACTTGTATAATAAACCTGGCGAAGTAATTCTAAAAAAAAAACTAATAAAAAATTAATTATTAATCCGAATGAATTATCTTTTAGGATGTTGTAGTTATGGGAACAGCACTTGAAAAATTTCTCTATGAAAAATTAGCTGAAATGCCACCAGATGTAAAAAGAAAAAACTTTTATTTTTTGAAATTTAATTCAATCGAATTTTATAGGAAACTGAAATCGTACCTCATGCATCGAAATCATCTACATCAAAACCAGGTGGCGATGGAAATGTTTCAGTTTCTGCAACTTCACCATCAACTCCAAGTGAACATATTAATTCACCATGTATGTATAATTAATATTTAATGATATAATTAGAAATTATTTTTTATGACAAAATGCACATCAGCATAAACTGATGTGTTTTTGATCATTAGGCTAATTAGAATCATGTATGCCTTACTTTTATAATTTAAAAAAACAAGGGGGGTGTTTTATTTTTTTCACGCGAAGAAGTACTTTAAGTTTTTCTGTAAGAATCAATATGACCGTTCGTTTTTGGTCACGGTCATGAACAGCATAGATACCAAGGATTTTCTACTCATTACATTTGTCTAATCTGCTATGAAAGGCCTAAATAACAACATTTTTTTTCAACGTAATCATGCATAAATCAACTCGTGTTCTTTGCTAATTGAAATATGTATGTGTTATTAGAAATCGTTAGTAAATCTGATTTTATCAATCTATTCTAAATGAATTAGTTACTATTAATGTAGTTAGTTTCATTTTAATGAGATTTAGACAAGGATAACTATGAACATTTGTAATATGAAACAAAAAAAAAAGGAAGTTCGAAACGTATATTACACATAAAAGGTAAGTTATGTCATGTGTATGAAAATAAAATTTAAGAACATAACTACAGTTATTTACATACATTAAAAACTAGTTTTTGCCTAGGACGATTAAATCAGCAGTTAGATTCGATCGAATGCGTCATGATAGCTATTAAAATCGAATATAGCTTATATATATATCATTACATCGATCATTGCAGTCATATGTCAAAATATCATGTTTAAACGATGAAGAAGAGAAGAGAATGAAACTTGTATAGCTAATAAATTCCGATAGCATTATATATATATATATATATATAGGGTCATCGCCCGGAGAGGAATGAGTCAAAAAGTAACTGACAAAGGAAACAATACATATACAGATTTCTTTATATATATAGAAAAGAAAAGAAGAATGATATGAAGATGTATACATATTTATTCTATATTTTTATTTAGTACCATCTCCATCGACACGCTCTGTAAATAGTACTCATCCTAATGGTACTAATATGTTGTCTCGTAATCGTACATCATCAACAACAAATCCTAGTGCTGTAACATCTCCATTTTCTCCATTAAATAATAATTCAAATCATATTGATCAAAATAGTCAATCAATGTCTCCCAAATTATTACCCGACCAACCATCAATACCTAGTTCAACATCACTTACAAATTTTGATTCAACGGTATCTGTAAGTTGCCATTGTTTTTATTCAAATCAAAATAAAATAAATAATTTTAGAATTTCAAACGTAAAAATGAATTAGAAGATGATTCAACAACAAAACGAACGAGTGGTGCTGTTGGTACATTAAAACGTGTTAAATATGATAATAGTTTTTCAAATGATGTAAAACAATTTGTTTTTCTCTTATCGATGATTCATTGAAAATAAACATTCCTTTTCTTTTCTAGTCATCAGCTAAACGATCAAAAAATCGTATGACGGAACAGTTAAAATTTTGTTTAAATATCGTCAAAGATTTATTACATAAAAAAAATATGGTAAATTTTCTTATTTCTTTATTTTAATATAAAATTATTTGATTTTATTCAGACATTTGTTTGGCCATTTGCTAAACCTGTTGATGTTAAAAATCTTAATCTATCTGATTATTATCAAATTATTAAAAAACCAATGGATCTTGGTACCGTCAAGGTATAAATATCTTAGAAGTTTTTCTATCATTTGATTCATTGATGTATTTTCTTTCATTGTAAAGAGAAAACTTGAAACGCGTGAATATGCATCACCTGATGAATTTGCAACGGATGTTCGACTGATATTTAGTAATTGTTATCTTTATAATGGACCACATACAGATGTTGTTGCTATGTGTAAAAAAGTTGAAGTAAAAAAAATAAATCAAGAAATAATTCTTTTTAAATTTTTTTTATTTAAATTAAAATATTTTAGCAATTATTTGAAGATAAATTTGCGAAATTACCTGATGAACCAGCAATAACACATATAGATATTGATCCATTACCAACAACATCATCATCAAATGCACGTAATAATGGTTTAATGTCATCAACATCATCGACAACACGAAAACGTAAACGTCATTCATCGAAACATAATAGTAGTGCTGGTGGACATACATCATCCATGATAACAAGTTCAGATGATGGCGCATCAAGTGATGATAGCGCTGAAGAAACTGAAAATACTCGAGAAAATACTCTACGACAATTATATGCTCTTCAAGAACAAGTAAAACTTAATATAATTTTCTAATAAACATCTAAATATGTCTTTATTTTAAGGTGAAAACTATTGGTAATACATTAACATATTTAATTCAACAGACAAATGATCGTATTACATTACGTTCTAAACGTAAAGGAGGGAAACGAAATAAAACGAAAGGAATTGGTTTGGATACATTACCTTTTAATAGTACATCAAATGAGTTAAATCGTTTATCGATGTTATCACCGACACATTCATCTATGATATCACCAAATATATTTTCAGCTGTTCAAGGACCATCACATAATCCTATGCCACCAACAGCTACACGTAATCCTTCAACTGTAGCAATGGCAACAAAAAAAACGGCACCTTCTCTTGCAACTTTACTTACATCAAGTGCAACACCTACATCTAATGGTACTGGTCAATTTAATATGTCTTCTAATGATGCATATATTTTTGGAGATATAAGTCCTACGAAACCAACAAAACCAAAAACTACTGCACCTAAAAATAATATTAATAAAGGTGTTGAAGCAGCTCGTCGAGGACCAGCAGCTGGCGGTACAGGTGTTAAACGGTTAGTAGAAAAGAATAAACATATTTTATTATTTATATATGATATTATTTATTTAGAACACCAAAGAAAGCTGCAGCAGCACCTGCTGCATCTGGATTTGATTTTCAAAGTGAAGAAAATTCTAAACCAATGACATATGATGAAAAACGACAATTAAGTGTTGATATTAATAATTTACCAAGTGAAAAACTTGGCCCTGTTGTTGAGGTTTGTTAATAAATGAGTTTAATTTTACTATTATTGATATTTATTTCTTTTCTATATTTAGATTATTTATAAACGCGAACCATCATTACGTGATTCAAGTCGAGATGAAATGGAAATCGATTTCGAAATACTTAAACCTTCAACATTAAGGGAATTAGAATCGTATATTAATCATGTCATGAAAAGAAAACCAAATAAACAACTTAATACATCTGGTAAATGAAATCTTGGTTTTACTAGTCATTTCATTTTGTTTTTTTCCTATTGTCTCATTATTAATAAAAAAACAATTATTAAATTGTCAGGTGATTAACATCAATTGTATATATATATATAT